TTACAGCTGGGTAATGCATTTGTTAGGGAAACAAACTTTTAATAAAAGTAAAAGAAGAAAATATTTCCATCATTTTTCTAAATACTATATTGCATACAGCTAAATAATATGTTAATTATATTAATTTTGGTCTCTATAGACTCCATAGGGTCATTCCATGTCATCTCAACCAGAGGTCCCTGGCTAAAAATTTTGATTTTGATGATCTTTTTTTTCCTGGTGAAAGAAATACATTACAATAAAATATATAAATAAAAATGAAATAAAAAAGCCAAAATGTCACGGTTGTATATTTAAAGAGTACTCCAGTATTTTGTGGAGGGGGTCAAAATGACAATTTTCACATGAGATTTGGAGCCAGAAATACTTCTGTTGACTTTAGAAATCTTTGTTGCTTGCCAGTGTACCCTTTTCACAGACTGTGATGACGTGTTGTAACGGTCATCAACATTGTAAATTATTTTTTATATTTTCATTTTAAAAAATGTATGTACATTTCGAACACTTTAGACCTTATGTAGCTCCATATTTTAAAATACAGCAAAGTGTTCCCAAATGCAAAAAAAAAACCACATTCCACAATGGTGGCACTAAAGCAATTTTGTTCCAGGAAGAGCTGCTTTTGTACTGTATTTACACGTGCCTTTTTTTGAACAAAAGTCTGAAAATTACATGCTTAAATTACTTTCAGTTTATGAATCTTTTGTGCATTACATAATGCTGCTTCAGTATTTGTAGATTATTTTTCCACATGTTTCTATGGTACACTGAAAAACAATGATAAGTATATCATACGTTTTAAAGGCTTTTATTGGCAAGAAAATATAATGAGTCAATATTTACAGTGTTGACCCTCGTTCTTATCTTCATAACCTCTGAAATTCGCTCTGGCATGCTGGATATTAGCTTCTGGGCCTGCTTGACTGATGGCGATCCATTCTTGCCTTATTAGTTCTCGGAGTTGATCACAATTTGTGGGCTTCTTGTCCACTCGCCTTTTGAGGACTGACCACAGGTTCTCTATGGGATTGAGATCTGGGAAGTTGCCTGGTCACGGATCCAAAATTTCAATGTAATGATCTTCGAGCCACTTCTTTATCACTCTTGCTTTGTGACATGGTGCTCCATCATGCTGGAAAATGCACAGATCATCACCAATTTGCTCATGGATCGTTGGAAGAAGTCGCTCTTGCAGGACGTTTTGATACCATTCTTTATTCATGGCAGTGTTTTTGTGCAGAATTATGAGAGAACCCCACACATGGATGGTTTCAGGATGCTTCACTGTTGGCACAACACAGGACTCATGGTAGCGTTCACCTTTTCTTCTCCGAACAATCGATTTTTCAGATGTCCCAAACAGTCGGAAGGGAGCTTCATCAGAGAAAATAACAGTCTTCTGCTGTCCAATCCTTGACCTTCCTGCAGAATTTCAGTCTGTCCTTGACTGTTTTCTTGGAGAGAAGTGGCTTCTTTGCTGCCCTTCTTGACACCAGGCCGTTGTCCAAAAGTCTTGGCCTCACTGTGCGT